GCTGCCGGCATTACGTCGCTCCTTGTGACTAGCGAGTAGATCTTGCCCGAGAATAGGAGAACCTGTCCTCCATTCCTCTCGCTCTCTTTCTCTTTCTTTTTCTGTGCCGCATATATCTTCGACCACCGCTCTCTCGTCCGCCGCTTTTATATTTCGCTTGCCGTGATCTTTTAACATCCGACGCGATCCGCCGCGGAAACGAGCTTAAAAGCGGCTTGAAGGACCCACGCGACATGCCTCGCGGATGAGAACTTAAAAGGAACCACGAAGAGAGATACTCGAGTCGAGTCGAGGACTTGCCTTGGTTCGCCGTTTGTCTCCGGTGTTCTCTTCGCATATCCTTCTTCGCTCTTTCTTCTCTCTTTCTCTCTCTTTTTTTTCACTTTCTGGAGTATCACGGCTTTCGACGCTGGAATTTCCCGCAGCTTCTATTAGCCCGTCCTTGTGGCGCGGCCTTGACACTACTTCGAACGATACTCATTAGTACGCTTTCTCTTTTCGAGAGCATGTCGCGAAACCGGGTTCGGCATGCAAAAGAATTCCAGACGACTACGACTCGTTCGAATCTCAAAAAATAAATGCGTATCGAGAATAATCGAAAATATTTTGATGCGCTTTCAATCAATTGATTATTGCAAAATTATGTTGGAATCTTTCTTTGATTAATAAAAATGTTAATTGTCATAGAAAACGAAAAAATATTTACGAAATTTCATATGTGATACGATACGAATGTATCCTAAGACAAAAAACATGCGCATGAAATATGACTATGCGCCATATGGCAATTAAGCTAGAGGACGATAAGAGACAGCAAACAAATATTTGCAGAATGACGTCTTTACTAGCGCGACTAATTTTATATATATATAGATCTCTTTTGTCTTATCGATATCGCAACAGAAGTGATAGATTTACGAAAATTAAATTGTGAAGTACGTACGAATTATTTGCCTATCATAAGCTCCAATAAATTTATAAAATCTAAGTTATTGATTGTGTATTAACCGATCGTAAAATATTATTTGATGTAAAATATTATTGCCAAAGGAAAAAAAAAAAATAATTTATATTTTTTTAAATTGATAAACACAATTAAAAGGCATAAATTTAAAGCAGAAATAACAAATAATCGACCAGTAAAAAGAAATTTGAACACATTTCAGTAGAAACAATCGTCATGCACGCTTTTTCTACGGAATGATTATTTGATATGCCTCTATTCCGTTGAAAAATATGTACGTCTGTCTTTAATTTGTCAAGAAGGTTAGATTTCTGTTGAAACACACCGCGATGGTCAAAGAGTACGTGCGGTCCGGTGCAAAAGAGTTGGGGCGCTTAACTTTAAGCCGGCGCTAATGAGATTGGAACACGGCGGAAATTTTGTATAACGAACCGAAGAAGCTTTTGGTCTTTGAATCAAAGTCTACCTACTTTTCAAATTTACAAAGGCCTCGGACCGTCGATGAAATAAATTCACGGTAGAATATTATGGAGAGAAACTTCTCAAAAAATTTCGCGAGACCTCTTATTAGAACAGATCATACTAAGCACTCGCGGCAAGTTGTCTCATACAATATTCAATTTTCTGAGGCACAATCGCGCCATTTTGTAAGCGGCATTATTCCGCCTAATGGCAAAGATGTATGCAAGATATCGAAGTGAGTATATGTACGGATTTAGGGCGTGATACGGCAACCATGACAATACTTTTATGTGTCATTAACTTATCCGTTGTAATCTGGAGACGTGGAAAGAAATCGTTCACGAGCGATTTCAAATCGGCCATATGGCGGGGTTTCTGGTACGGGCTTATCGAAAGATAAGTCGATGCTATTAAACCACCCCAGCGGACCCCCGCGCACCTGTCCTTCGCACGCCACGTAACATGTCGAGTTCGGTGGGATTTTTACTCCGTTCTGCGGATATACCGACAAAGTCTTTTTATCGAACAAAGGTTCGCCTTTTAACGAGTGTAGGGTAAACCGAGATAGGAGATAGTGAATTTAAATGTCCTCGAATATAACAGACGGGATGTAGAGAGGTGCACAAGGTAGACAAAGCCGGATCGTCGCGACGGATCTATCCGTTCGAAATTTTCGTCACTCGGCAATCCCGGAATGTTCTTTTTCATCAACCTATGCCGACAAGTTTGTTTGGAGCATGCATTATAGTTTGTTTAGCTAAGAAACTCAATGCAAGCAATTAATATGCGGAACATTAAAAAGATTTTTGGAATTGCTAATAAAGATCAACTAAATAGCGTCATAATCGAATAAATACTTCGATCAAAATTGGGAGAGTTTTTTGAATAAAAATTCAAAATTAATAAATATTAAGCAGGTTTATAAAAATGAATACATATAGTTAAAGCATAATTTAAGACTTACTATACAGTTCAAAATTAAATTAAAACTTGAATTTTTAACCGCATATACGCATCCACAAATGTTTTTTTAAATATGGAATCTTAGCAAATTATTTTTGTCTATTATAAATAATCTTGAAAATTGACACAGTATTTGTGCGTTTTTTGATCCAGAATAATAGAATGATCGCCAAAAACTTTTGATGGTATATATACGCGCGCGCGAGAGAGTATAGTATTGTACTTTCATATATAGTTAGCATATTTTTATATTTTTTCAAAAAAAATTATTAAATTCATTGTTTTAAGGAAAATATTAACATCTAATTGTTTTCTTAATATTTTTCTATAAATTACACTAATTAACTCCCGGCTTATAAAATATGTACTTACGTCATTCTTACTCGAAGATAACATCAAACATTTATACGACAATTTCAAAAGTATAGATATAGAAATTGTATTTGTGTAAACTTTGTTACGTATTAAATTTTTGGTTATACAACTCTCAAGAGTATAGAGTACTTGTTATACAAATATACACGTACTTATTTTACCTCGAGATTAAAATAAAACATAATTTAGGACTCACCGGTACGATGCGCAACAACGGAATTCTAATAGACAACACATTGATCTGTAAAATTCACAAAAAAATATATTCAAATCTATATATAAAATAGTGTCTAAAATAATAACTATTTTATGAATCTTTTATTTGTCTTTGAAATACAAATATTTAATAAAAAACTTATATAATTCCCGCAAAAAATATATATATATATAAAGGGTATACCATATTGACAATGAGCAAAAAAACCTTTGAAAACATAGGTTGATAACTCAACTATTCCTGAGATATAAACATTTTTGTATATTAGCGTCATGATTGACTTACTGGCTTCTACGTGTAGCGATGTTTACCTCAGTGTTTATAAACCGCGTCCCCATTCAATTTCCATACATACTTCATAACAGAAGATTTCACCGGCACAATCAGTCAGTTGTCATCAACCGGCGATTGCGGATCTTTGCGATTCGCAAGAAGAAGATGCCAAGTGTGTATAGAAATAGGAGGATATGTGGAACATCTTTTATAAATATCGAGATAAAGATTACAGATTATCTTCTTCTTATGTCGTATATATATATACGACGTAAAAAAAAGATAATCTGTCTAAATCTTTATCTCGATACAATCGCGCGCGCATTAATCGGCAGAATATAATAATTACGCGACACAATGTTAATTGTACACGACACGCACCTTATTACCAAGAAAGAACAAACGCGAAAACTATATCAATATCACGAAGCTACAATCCGCTTGTCTTTCGAAAATCAATTTTGTGCGCCACTCGCCGCGGGTAACTCTATTGCTAATAAATAATATAAACGTTTTCGTTAAAAATGATTATTATCTTGTAATTACATTCTTCTTGCAATTTCACATATAATTGTGAATAACTATGTGAATTAGAATTAAAGATACATATTTACAGAACGTCATATCTATAAAAATATATATATCATATTACCGACTATTCGCCCGATAGATTTCGATCGAATAAAGCAAAAAGAATACGCATTTTGATAAATTACAACGATATACGAATGACAAATTTATGATACATAATTGATTAATATTAAAAATACACGTTTAAATATACACGATATATTTACTACTACGGAAATACGCAATGTAACGCCAGTCGATTTAGAATCCATCTGTTTGCGACGTTTCTTACACTAATCGTCAATTACAAGAGTTGAGTAATCACGCGTTTGATAACCTATAATCGTTCATAGAGAATGATCGCGTTTGATATCTCTCCTAGTACTTCTCACGATCGTATTTTAAATAATGATATTTCTCACATTTTATTTCAAGTAATCTCGAAGTAATAAAGAACAGAAATAATAAATCATCATTGTATTATGATATCTACGGCTAATACTTGTATCTTTAACAACTTGCTTACATTTGCATATAACTCGTATTACGCTTTTTATCGATTTAAATATGACTTAACCATCATTTTCTCTCTCTCTCTCTCTCTTTCTCTCTTTGTCTTTTTCTCTTTCCGATGACGCAAAGCAAATTGTAACTTCGTAATAATGCTTGTATGAGCATAATTTTCATGTTTATTTTTCCAATGTAATATTATAACAAAGTGCGCGTCGCCTGCGATTAACTTCGGGAGTGTCGTACAAAGTGTCGCGCAATCGGCGTATTTTACTGATTAATAATTAACCGTGCTTTCGTGAGTGAATAAGTGCCATGAAGAAGCAGTAAAGAATGAACCTGAGAAAAAGAGCAGACTCGTGGGGGCAACGGCGGAGCAACCGTGGAATGAGTATAATTTTTAATTAATTAAATATTTTACCTATAAAAATGGTTAATTGCTCGTTTATCTCAGCAATTCTTAACTAACTTATTAATACTTGGACATACCTTTATTAATACTTCAATAAGATGCTTAAAACTTTATTCGAATTGTGCCCGCGGATTTGCTTGAATTGTCGCACGTTCGCATTATCGACGCGATATACTGTACACCT